GCGTCGAATCAAGCTCCCAAAAGTGGGATTGATGGGTTTCCGCTCCGGAGTCGACACATCTGCTGTGCTGGCACCGAATTCATCCGCTGTCTCTTGGCTCGTTCGACTTCCGCTACGTGCATGGGACGCGCCCGTGGGCTTGCTAGGCCCAGAAGATACGCTATTACTTCTGCTGTTGGGCGCTCCTAAGCGGAAGATGTGGACAGTCTCGGTCGCGGACGATACACTAAGCAAGGTCGATGTCGAGTTGAAAGACATGCTGTATATCCTGGCCGGGATGGAGCCTCTCCGGAACTGGTACAGCTTCTGCGCATCGGGTATGGAGAAGACGCGGATGATGGTGCCCTTTTCTGATGCCGTCGCCAGCAGAGTACCATCGCTGTTCAGCGCAATGCAAGATAGCGGAGAATTGTGCGCCTCAATCACGTTGACTGCCTCCATCTTTGTAGCATCGTATATAAGGACTTCTCCACTTGTGGGTGCAATGTGATCGGCTTTGGGCGGCGCGTGCGAAGGCGGCTGGAAGGTAGCGGGTGCGGCTTTGGTGGGCAGCGGATACACGAGGTAGTTGTTCTCGGACGATGCTGAGAGAGCGCATATGGCTATGCCAGTTAGTATCTGTGAAGTGCTGCTTCTTGCGACGTACCATTGGGATTAGGCGACGTCTTCTCCGTCTTGAGCATCTGCAGGTTGCTTATATCGTAGATGTAGAGTTCCGACTCGAGCACGACGACGATGCGTTTCCTGTTCATGCGCATGGCGAGGATGGCTGTCCGGAATGTCATCTCACATATGGTCGAGTGCCTCTTGTCCTTGTCAGTGCGTGCCTGGCCAGAGTCGCCTGTCCGACGAACCTTGGTGTTTTGTATACGCAGCACGCGTGGCGACAGCGTGAGGGCTACCAGCGACGTGGAGAAGAGCATCTCAAGGCTGGAGACATCTCCCTCGCGCGACTCGGACTGCTTGTTGAACGGGTCGGTGGTGTATATGCGGTAGCCATTGGGCGTGCCTATGCGATTAGGTCAGTACATGTTCTGCAGCTGGCAGGCATAGCGCATACCAACGCCTAGATGGCTGTGGTCCTGGTTGAAGGTTACGAAATTCATCGCGGGAGTCTGGCGTTGGCTGCGTGGTTCCGGGTGCTGCGAGGGCTGGGGACTATCCGCGTGATAGCTCGGTGAAGCTGTTGGCCGCCGTTCGGGGGTCCAAGCCCTACAAGCGGATGCGCAAAGGTAATCGCAAGCCCGAGCGATTGCGATGCCGATAGCGATGCGTGTATACGCCGGTGCAAGTGATAGAAAAAGATAGCCTGGGCCTGATCGCAGGTTGCAGCTACCGCCGTCTGACCATGGTTCACGCGCCCATGCAGGGATCCCGACGTCAGCTTAGCCCCGCGTAGTGGCTGGTGCTCCAAAAATCATTCCTCTCCCAAGACCATGGCCACCCCATCGTGAAGACCTGAACATGGCCAAAGACGCCAAGATGCGCTCCAAGAAGGCTGCTGCAAAGCGCAAGGGTAACCAGAAATCCCTGCGCGAGAGAAGAGATGTGGATATCATGAACGTGAGGTCCCCAGCCTCTTCCGCCCATAGCATCCTCGTAGCCACTGGACTAATATCAATGTCAGACGAATGACAGCAGCATTGTGTCCAAGAGAAGCGTATCGAAACTCTATCTCAGCAATGAGCCTGACTTCTATGAGCCTTTTGTACCAAAGTTCGTTCGACGCAGTACGTCACTTGGATACCACTTGCACGTGAGACATGGACTGATGCCCTTCAGATCCGTTGATCAATCGCGGGTATTGGCTACGAATGCATGCTATTGAACAAGTAGTCCGCCGGTTTCTGGAAGAAGAGAACGGAAAGCCCAAGATTGTGGTGAACCTAGGATGTGGATAGTGAGTAAGACATCCGTCGTCTCGACTCTAACACAGTGAGAAGCTACTAAGTCCGGAAAGTGATCCCTTGCCTTTCCAGTTTTGGCACAGGTATCCGGCCCTCACGCAATCATCTACATTCGTCGACGTCGACTATCCACAATTGATGCAACGCAAGAGAGATACCATGCTTAGCAATGGTCTTCTTCGAGACGCCTTGCTCAGGACCAAACTCCGTCAGTCCGAACAGCCTGTATATCTTCGTAGCGACAGCTACATAGCTCTTGGATGCGATCTGAAAGACCTTGCCACACTCGAACGACTTCTGCGGGCCGAGTTCGATGTCCCCTCGTCTTCAATCCTGTTCGTCGCCGAAGTGTCTGTGACCTACATGCCGCTAAAGGACTCTGATGCTCTCATACAGTGGGCTAGTACTATCGAAGACGGTATGCAGATTCGTCAAACCCTTCCCATAAGCTATGCTAACATCTGTAGCTCGCTTCTGCATACTAGGTATTCATTCCTTCATGTGTATGTACCAGTTCGCTTATACTGACTCCATACTGCATAGAACAGTACCTTCCGCAAGGCCCAGCTCATCCCTTTGCCAAGACAATGCTGTCTCACTTCGACAAGCTACAAGCATCAATCAACGCGGTTAAGTTGCATTCATCACTAAACCAGCAAGCCGCTCGTTTCCGTAATGCAGGATGGCCCACAATAACCATGGCCCGCAATCTGTGGGATCTATGGTCTGATGATAGCTTTACCCCTCCCACCCTTAGACGCGGGCTGAATGCAGTGGAGCCGTTTGACGAGTGGGAAGAGTTTGCGCTCTTTGGGGGTCATTACTTCCTACTCGTCGCTTCAAATGCAGAGCAAAGTGGACCGACTGAGTTAGCCTATGGCGAGGCAACAGCCACCACAGGGTGCAGGAAAGCCGCTGATGCGGGAAGTATTACCCTTCACACCTTGAAATTATCGGGTGGTGGTGCCGTGACGCCACGTCGTTTCACAGCAGCTTTCGCTTTCGACAAGGACTCGGTGGCCTTCCACGGAGGTCAAGGGACGCAAGCCCGTCTCGCCGATATGGACACATTGACGCGGGAGGATCATAACGGGGATCGTACCATCCAGCCTTGTGGCTTGCTGCCTGCTGCCCGCGTATGCCATACTATCACATCAATGCGCAACGGTGAAGCGTTGTTGGTCGGAGGCCGCGGATCGCCCACCCAGGCTTATGCAGATTGCTGGCTCTTCAACCAGGGAGCTTGGGCCAAAGTGGACGACCTGATGCCAGCCCGGTACCGCCATTCTGCTGTTGCTGTTGTAATAGGAAGCGGGAAATCACAGATCCATGGCGTCTTTGTCTTTGGTGGCAAAGCCAGTGACGGCACAGTACTCGATGCCGAACACTACTGTGCCTTATGGACTGCCAACGGCGGATGGAACAGCATTCCCGTCGACGGACCGCGCCCGTCTGCACGCTTCGCCGCCGCGATGTCCACGATCGATTTTGCTCAAGATTGGGGGTTGCTGACAGGTGGACAAGACGAGAGCGGCGTGGTCGTACAAGACGCGGTGTGGGAGTGGTCCATTTCCGCCACACCAACACCTAGGCTCAACTTTAAGGACCGCGCCAATGACGTTCGCAGCAGCTTGGAGAACTCTGCATACGCGCGTATAGGTGCCAGTCTAGTTCCCTGGAACGATTCTCTGCTGTTGATTGGAGGTGTTTCACAGAAGCATATCCACTCTCTATCAGACGACTTCCTGCTCTTAACATGCAAGGACACGACCATCGATGTGGAGCATCCCAGTATGCAGGCATTGCCGCCAACGACATGGCCTTTGCTAGTGGGTGTAGGGGCCGTTTCAACCTCTCGAGGCGAGATTGTGCTTGCAGGAGGAGGGGCGGTCTGTTTCTCAATGGGAAGTTACTGGAATGAAGACCCAATCGTCATCCTTCCTGACAATGCGCAAGGGGCCAAGTCGTGGCGTCGCGCTGTGCCGAGTCAGATCAGCGGCACAGCAGGCACAGAAGGCACAGCAGGCACAACACAAGCGAACGCGACTGGAACGGGACCCAAAGGTCGGCGACAGAAAGGTGGTGTGGAGAAGAGACCTACTACTACTGCACGTACTACCCAGATCGCAAGGGTGCAGATTCAGTCGTCAGATGACTTTGCGAAGCTGGCGGCTGCGTCAAAACCGGCCATCATCGAAGGCCTCGATATCGGCCCGTGCACAGACCTATGGACACTTGACTACCTGAAAGCAAAGCTTGGCCCCAAAAGAAACCTCGTCATCCATGAATGCACATCAGATCGTATGACGTTCAAGGACAAAAACTTCTCATACGTCAAGAAATCAGTGGCAGATTTCCTAGACGGTATCGCAGAAGGGTCTCACGAATATCTTCGTGCTGTATCTTCAAGCCAGCCAAACAAGCTGCCTACCAAACTCGAAGATGACTTTCCGACTATATCCGATGACTTCCGCGTACCGGACGTATGCAATCTAGTCAAGGAAAACTACCACAGCTCGCCCCTTCGCATCTCAGGGCCCGTGACCTTATGGCTACACTACGATGTTCTATCCAACATCCTGTGTCAAGTACGCGGTTCAAAGACGCTATTTCTCTACCCACCTACCGATGTTTCTCTGTTAGGCTTCCCTCCCGGGGGCTCGTCTTCCAATATTGATGTCCTGACGTCCAAAGACCAAAGGCTTCGGCGCACTCATCCGCACATTGCTTCCCTCAAGCCTGGTGATGTCTTATTCATACCACCCATGTGGAGTCATACAGCTACGCCGGAAGATGGCGTGAGCGTGGCAGTCAATGTGTTCTGGAAGGGCTTGGAAAAAGGATACGCGGCTGGAAAAGATGTATATGGTAACAGGGACCTGCAGGCATATGAGAATGGCAGAAGAGATGTGGAGAAGATTGTCAGAGCATTCAAGGATCTACCAGTCGACGTCTCCAAGTTTTATTTGGAGAGGCTGGCTGGTGAGATTTTGGAGCGCTCGGATAAGCTTGGAGAGAAGAGGAAGGAAGTCGTGAAGGAGGACCAACAGTAGATAGTATATATGCTTTGATCGAATACGATGATGTTAAGATCTAGTGCTTTTCATTCCACACTTCGCTCCATCGTCCTGCATCCAGCTCCACAGGCCCATCAAATCGGCCAAACCTTGGTGGGCCTGTGCCTGGTTCAGGCAGGCAAACCCACTCTCGTATACACCCAGGTACTTCATGCTTACTATGACTGACACACAGTAGGGCCTGATGTTCTTGCAATCCTGGAACCACAACCTCACCTTCCCATTTCACCGGTTTCAAGCCACTGTCAGAGAATACAAGCTCCATACCCTGGCCGTGACTAAGGAACAGAAGACACTTGTCGCGAACGAGGTCGTCCATGCCACTGAACGCCTCATCGAGGATAACGATGTCGGGATTTCGGATCGTGGCGCGCAAGAAGAGGAGTACACGTTGAGCGGAGAACGATACCTCACCGAATAGAGTGTCAGATGCCCACTCCAGACTCACACTTCCGTCACCACTGAAGCCAGGCCTAAGTTCGGATTCAAACCATCTCAAGCAAGCTTCGACTCTCTTCCTCGCTTCATCATCTAGTCTTGGCTTTGTAATTGGTGTATCCGCCCATGCACTTTCCAAAACCGTCCTCACTCTAAGTCTCTTCGGAAACAGGGCATGGACTTCCGGACTCGCATGGCCCATTCGTGACTGGATTTCGAATATAGTGATACCTGGGACACCGGGTTCGGGCAAGCGCGAGCGTTGGAAGAGTTGGACAGGAGCCGAGTAGGTCTGCGGATGGTCTGATGTTACGAGCGAAAGAAGCGTAGTCTTGCCAGAGCCGTTGGCACCGCTAGATGTAGGAATACGAAGTTAATATATGCCTCACACGTGTTTCGTACATGGAAACTTACAATATACCCCAGCGTTGATTACGATGCACGTTCCAATGCAGCCCGGATTGTGATGACCCGTCGATGTCCTGTTGCCAATCTCCCAAGACGGAGTTCTGGCCGTAAGCTATGCGTACTCCTTGCATTTCGACGATAGCTTCGCCAATCTTGGGTACATGATCGTCGGTATCTTGGTGGCCATCGCGACTCAATGTTGCCGCATCCGATGATCTTGTAGAGTATTCTCTTCCAGACGAAAGTCGTCCTGTTTCGTCTCTCTCTGTGCTGACGGAACTCCGCGTCGAGTCCCCAATGCTTTCAGCTTGCCTATGCATCTGTGAATGACCTAGCACCTCTTCCTTCAGCCCCATCTTTTCGACCTTTCCATCCTCTCCTGCGTAAACGAGATGGGTAACCCATTCCGGAATCTCATCTTGCGGTCTCAGACTGAGAACAATGCGTGGTGCGTTGGCTTCTGCGAGCCGGTGTAAAACTTTGGAGATATGCCTGGTAACGATGGGGTCAAGTCCAACTGTTACACTGTCAGCTCGCTCCTCTTGAACATGTAATAACAGTGCACGTGTGGAATCAAAACTCACTAAACGGTGCATCCAAACAAAGCATCTCAGGCCTACTCAACAACGCTTTCGCGATTCTCGCCCGTCTACTCTGCCCATTGCTCAGCATGCTGACCGGCTTGTCAATAAACCTCTCCAACTCTAGATCACGCATAACCCGTGTCATATCCTCTTCATCCACACTCTTTGCCTTTAGTTCCTCTTCTCCAGGGTTCATCGTTACGATACCGGTCAGGTACCTTTGAACAGTAAAGTCCGTGTCTTCTCTCAGAGACTCATACCGTGCCGATAGATAGGCGCCACCGAAAGCTTTCCGTTCAACGTCGAAGCCCACATACTCAATGGCTCGCTCTGGGAAGCGGAGGCGTGGCCTTTCCTCGGCGATGGCTGGAGTGAGGAGGTATGGGAAAGACCGCGCTGTTGGAGGGAAACAAAGTAATTGGCCGCGAAGTATTTGTAGAAATGCGGTGCGAATGTCGGATGATGGGCTCAAAATCGCCCAATGCTGGTTTGGTGTCGAGAAAGAGGGTAGAGAGAGCGTCAGATTCGGGAATAATGGTGGATTTGAAGGCGCATTATCGCCCTTTGAAGAAGGGTGCTGGCGATAGAATGTGCCATTGGCGATTTTGACAATAGGCGGCGAGGAGTAGAGTCTACGTGAAGTGTGGAGACGTGCACATTGCGTGGCTGCAAAGAACAGCGCTTGCGTTCTGCGCATGTCGAGAGATGGGTGTTGCTGCGCTCATGTTGGTGGATATTTGGTCTGGATTGGGTGGTGTTTGCCGCAGCGGAAAAGTGTCCGTGTCCGCGACAAAGTAGAATGACGTCGCGCGCGGTCGCTGTCTGCCGAGGTACGTGATAGCTGAGGGTCCGCATCGTTATTGCGACGGATAGAGAGTTGGCTGAGTCGTTGTCGCGCGAGCAACCCGACATGATCTCTAGTCTGCAGCCTTCGAGGCCAAAGGTTCACCGTTTTCCATCATAACTCCTTGACGCTTGCTGACCAGATGTAGCCTCTCCAGCAGTCCCCAGCACCCTCATACGCGCACCAACAGCGACGCGCCGGCCACGCGCCATCCCAGACCTCTCAGCAGTCTACGACAGTACACTCAGGCTCGCCTTTGAATCCTGCGAGACCGCGATCCCAAATCGAAGCCATGCCACCTTTCGGCCCCCCGCAAACACCAGCCACCTTCTTTACACCCGTGTACGACAGCGCAATACGGCATCCAGTCTTCTTCACGCAGAACCTCAAGAAGCCGCCGTTTCCCATACCACAAATCGCTAGTCAGGGTTACAGCCCGGTTGCGAGTGGATACGTAATGGAACAAAGGAGAGCAGAAGTGACAGGAAAGACGAAGTTATGATCTTGACGATACGAGCATCGACGGCGTTGAGGAGTATAAGCGGACCGTATTGGGTTACGTCAATTTAACGAGAAACATTCGAATACTAGAGAAATAGCACGAGCTCTGTGAAGTCAGCCTTCCGGCTGGCCGGGCACATGAGATCGACTGAGACACTCGCTGTTTTGATTGCTTTACCCATATATTGCTTGTCTCGTACTAGTAATGGATGCTACGTATTGTAGCGGGTATCTACAGTGGCGAACGCTTCACAAATGTCCCTATTTACGTCCGAATCTTTTCCTGTCGAGGCATGACATCCATGTAAGATCCTTAAGGACCCATGTGCCTTTGATGAGATACAAGCTTCCTCCCCTTCATGTATCCGCACCTCTACAGGCTCTGCCGACCTACGAGATTGCTGGGCAACAGTGCCGTTGTGATGACGCAGCCCAACGTCACACCTCCAGCTAGGTACAGTACGCTATTGATATCTCTTCCAGCACCATCCCCCGCGTATAGATGCTGCGCAATGAGCGGGCTGACGATACCAAATAACCTACCCCAGAAACTCGCAATGCCGCAAGCTGTTCCTCGGATGGGTGCTGGGAAGGCTTCTGGTGTCCAGCCATATAGGACGGAATTGAACATGGACTGGAAGAAATATTCCATGACATTGAAACCGATGTTCGAAGCCGCAGAGTTAACACTGCTGAACAGGAAGATCGAGATGCCCATCAATGCAGACGAAACTACCATCGTCCATTTGCGACCAACCCGCGATGCGCGGTAAGACAAGGTGCCAAGAACAACGCCGAGGACTCCAGGAAGGTAGATGAAGATGTAAGAGCGGTAGGTGTAGCGGAGAGAAAGGTCGAGGGCGCCATTCTTCACAGCCAGGATTTGTGGGAGGTAAGTGCCTGCGTTGTAGGTCAACATATGTTCATCGAGCGAGAGAGGTGTGAAACTCACCAGCAACGGTAAAACCCCAGTAATCGCATATGTAAGTCAACCATACCAAAAGCGTCAACCTTGTCATCTGAAAGCTCGAGAATAGAAGCTTGAAGCGATCTCCTTCCAGTTTGAGTTTCTCAGTCCATGTAGATTTGAGCTGCTTGACACCACCTCCAAGCATAGGTCCATGACTTCGGTCTGAATCAAACTCGTGCTCTAGAGATACAAGATCCTCCAGAACGAGGTCGCATTTGGATCCGTTGTATTGAGCCATGGTGTGCAGTACCTCGATTGCTTCGGCATCCTTGCCACGGTATATGAGGAACTTCGGCGATTCCTGGAAGGTGAAAATGACCGATCGTAAGACGAAGACGAGTATGGTGATTCCCCCTAGCGTGAAGAGGAGATACCTCCATCCCATATTATCCTCTCTTGAACAACACTTTTCCCCTGTAGCAACAGCACTACAGGCAGGCAACGCTCGATCTCCTTCCGAAAAGTTTGGACTGCAAGACCAGTTTGGGATGAACCCGTAGGCGAGGACGGAACAGATGACAACACCAATGGGCTGGAAGATCGATAATAGCGGAAGGAGGTAACGCTTGCTCTGTGGTGTGGCTTCCAGGGTAATTGTAGTGTCAATGGGAATGTTGCCTCCGACACCAAACCCAGTAAATGCTGTAAGAACCAAAATGGCGTTGTAAGTGCTCGGGGCGCCGATGCATGTTCCAAATACACATGCAATAAAGACTGTCAGATTGAAAGAGACCTTTCTCCCGATCAAGTCTACGAGGACTCCCCACACAAATGCACCGGCTGTGAGTCCGATGGAAAAGGCAGTGGACAACTTTCCAGTCTGATCAGCACCAAAGCCAAGTTCCTGTTGGATTGGCGATAGAACGAGACCGAAGGCTTGAGCCCACATCAAATCGATCATGTAGCCGAACCCGCAAAGCGCCCAAATCGACCACTGGTACCGCCCCATTCCCATGAGATCAATTTCGCGGTTGATGAGCATGCATTTCTTCTCGTACAAAGAGATACCCTCATCTCCAATTTCCTCGGCCAAAGATCGTGAACGCTCCGGGTCGTCAGATCTACTGTGGTCAACTGGCTTCTCTTTGTCCTCGCCCGGCAACTTTCCATCTCTTGTAATATCGCCTTCGGTGGGAGTCGTGCTATCGTTTGTGGAATAATTGCGAGAAGAAGATGCGATAACCTCGCCAGCGCTCAAAAGCGCGTCGCTCTCGCCTGCCCCAGAGCTTCGACGCGACATTGTTGAACAGTTTTCTGAATTCTCAAAAGATGACAAAATGTTGAGAGATCCTTCTTCGGCGCTTACCCCTCTTGTGTGTGTGCCATGGGCTTCACATGGGCGGCACCACACTCCGCCGCGGGGGGAGGCTAGGATACGTTGGGCAGTAGTTAAGCGACGCCTGATAAGCCATTTGATTGCGCCGGTGTAGCTTCGGTGTCAGAAGTGTCAAAGGAGCAGTATCCATGGCATTGCGTGCAGACGTTGAGTGCCGGGTGCTAACGCTATGGGGTGTAGACAAGGCAGATCTTGCTGTTCAACACACCTCGTCGTTAGGAAAGGTGCAACGGACCCGACTGCCGCTCTGTATCAATCCCGCGGAACATTGAATTGTTCAGAGCAGAAACGTTTCACAATTTAGGCCATTCCACATAACCGGAGCATCTTCCGAAAAAGGCCGTTTCCGTCCTGGAGCAACAACAATGGTGAAGGCTTACGGTTCAGGCCGCGAAGTCGTGTGATGCGCGAAGGGATAGCCCTGATAACAAATTGATGTAAGTAATCATGAAGATACTTGCGCCTGGATTCCCAATTTTTGCTTCCATGACTTTGTTGTTCTCGCAGCCCGTTGTTGTAAGCATACCTAGGTCAGCTCCTATGCGGTTACGTGATTTATGCACGTTGATAGCGTGGCGAGTCGGCAGCATGGGATTTCAAAAACGCATGCTCTTGTGTGCTCCAAATTGTGTCAACAACGGCATCGCTCGAATAACGTGCAACCATACGGTGTAGATAGCCATGCGCGAAGATATGAGTTGAGTGGGGATGTGCAGGCTGACGCCTCGGCTTCCCCAGTTGGGCGAAGCAACTCATGCAACAGATCGCGATCCGTGATTCGACTCAAATGGACCCAAGTCTGAACGGTGAGAGAAAGTGGGTGAAGTTGAAGGGAGGAGATCCAGCTTGGAAGCAGACGATGAGGCAGGCGCAGGTGTCTTCGTCGAGGCCGCCTCCAGCTGGAAGGGTCTTGCCCCACTTTTCCGTGCAGTCGCCAAGGCCGGCGCGGTGGATCTGTGCGCCGAGATACTGGAACTTTTTTTGCAAGGCATGTCCGAAGACCAGAACTGCATATACCGATTTTCGCCTCATCTATTTGCAATGGCTCCCCGAAGAAAGCGCCAGCGTCTCTCGCTCGATGGAGCAGAAGCCGTCACAGCAACCGCCGACGCCGAGCAACCGTCCAATTCGTCTACAGCGGCGCCCAAAGAAGCTGCGCGCCGACAACTCTTCGTTCGCGGACTTGCGCCCACCGTTACGACCGAAGACCTTACCGAATACTTCTCCGAATCGTACCCAATCAAGAACGCGCTCGTTGTTCTGGACAAGGAGACTAGGGAATCGAAAAGCTACGGTTTCGTAACATTCGCCGACGTCGAAGATGCGCAAAGAGCGAAGGAGGAGCTGAACAATACGGAGATCAAGGGCAAGAAGATCAAGGTCGACTTTGCCGAGGCGAGACAACGTGAAGGCGAAGAGAAGAGGCCGAGGGCTGGTGACAGGGCCAAGGCGGAGCGCGAGCAACAGATCAAGGATGCGCAGACACCAAAGTTGATCATCCGCAATCTGCCATGGACCATAAAGACACCGGACGATCTACAGAAGTTGTTCCGAAGCTATGGCAAAGTCAACTTTGTCAATCTGCCCAAGAAACCCAATGGTGAATTGAGAGGTTTCGGTTTCGTCTCGCTACGTGGGAAGAAGAACGCGGAGAGGGCGATACAAGAGCTGAACGGCAAGGAGGTCGATGAAAGACCCATCGCTGTGGACTGGGCTGTGGACCGGGAGACATGGCAGAGCCTGCAAAAGACTGAACAGGTGGGAGATGATGCCAAACCAGACGGAGAAGACGGAGATGAAGATATGGAAGACGCCGAGGATTCTGCTGCCAGCTCCGATGACGACGACGACGACGAAGCGGACGACAGCGACGACGACGAAGACGATAGCAACACCGACTACGAGGACATATCAGAGGATGACGAAGATGGCGGAGTGGAGCTTGAAGAAGAGGACAACCGACCGAAGCGTGAGGAATACACTCTCTTCGTGCGCAATGTGCCTTTCACAGTTGACGACGAACGTCTCAAAGATCACTTCCAGCAA